GGAAACAAAGGCATCCGAATTGGTAAGGAGAAGTAAAACTATCCCTATTTGGCAGATGATATGCTCCTATATAAAGAAAACCCAAGACACTCAGCAAGAAAACTACTGGAACTTATTGAGAGATTTAGCATAGTGGTGGGATACAAGATCAACACACAAAACTCATTTGGTTTCCTCTACACCAACAAAGAGATTGCTGAAAAAGAAATAAGGAAATCAATACCATTTACAGTAGCTACCAAAAAATAAAATACCTGGGAATAAATCTCACTAGGGACACAAAAGGCCTGTACAAAGAAAACTATAAAACACTACTTCAAGAAACCATAAGAGATCTATGTAAATGGAAGTGCATGCCATGCTCATGGATAGGAAGATAGAACATTGTGAAAATGTCAATACTACCCAAAGCAATCTATACATTCAATGCAATCCTAATCCAGATCCCATCAACATTATATAAGGATGTGGAAAAAACAATCACTAATTTTATATGGAAGGGAAAGAGACCTCGGATAAGCAAAGCACTACTGAACAAAGTAGGAGTCTCACACTCCTGGAATCTCAAGACTACTATACAGCCACAGGAGTCAAAACAGCCTGGTATTGGTACAGTGATAGACACATAGACCAGTGGAACACAACTGAGAACCCAGAAATAGATCCATCAGCCCATGGTCCACTGATTTTTGACAAAGGGCTGAAATCCATTACATGGGGAAGAGATGGTTTCTTTAACAAATGGTACTGGCAAAACTGGATATCTGTTTGCAGAAAAATGAAACAAGATTCGTACCTCACATCACACACAAAAACTAACTCCATATGGATCAAAGACTTAAATATGAAACCTAAAACTATAAAGTTCCAAAAGGAAAAAATAGGGGCAAATTTAGGGGCCCTGATTTCTGGCATAAATACACTCTCAAGCATAATTCAAAACGCACAAACAGCAGAAGAGAAACTAGATGAATGGGAACTTCTAAAAACTAAATTTTTGTATGTTTCAAGAGATTTCTCCAAAAGAGAGCCTACAGATTGGGAAAAAATATTCGGCAAAACATATGTAACAAGGGACTTATCTCTAAAATTTATAGAAAACTCTAATACCTCGATAACAAAAACACAATCCAATTAAAAAATGGCCAGAAGACATGAATAGACACTTCACCAAAGAGGATATTCAGGCAGCCAATAAACACGCGAAGACATGTTCACGATCATTAGCCATCAGAGAGATGCAAATCAAAACAACAATGAGATACCACCTTGCCCCAGCACTGATAGCAAAGCTCAACAAGACAGAAAATAACAAATGCTGGCAAGGATGTGGGGAGATTGGGACTCTCATACACTGGTGGTGGGATTGTAAAATGATACAACCACTGTAGAAAGCAGTATGGTGATTCCTTAAAAAGTTGGAATTAGAAACACTATTTGACCCAGAGTCCCATTATTGTTGTTGTTATGTGCCGTCAAGTCGGACCCGACTCATAGAGATCCCTCCTTGGGTTTCCGAGGCGGTATTACTACGGAAGTAGATTGCCCAACCTGCCTTCCAAGAAGTGGCTGGTGGGTTTGAACCGCCAGCCTTCTGGTTAGCAATCAAGTGCCTTAGGCACTATGATACCAGAGCTCCTTTTTACTAAGTATATATCCTAAAGAAGTGAAAGCCAGGACAAGAACAGATACATGCACACCATGTTCATCGCAGCACTGTTTACAATAGCAGAAAGATGGAAACCACCTACATGCCCATCAACAGAAGAATGGATAACCAAACTATGGTACGTACACACAATGGAATACCATGCAACACTAAAGAATAATGAAGAATCTGCAAAATACCACATCACATGGATGAACTTGGAGCACATTATGCTGAGTGGAATAAATCAATCACAGAAGGACAAATTGTACTAATCCATTATTGTAAAAAGTCAAGGAAAGGTTTATATATGGAAGGAAACTTTCTTTGTTTATCAAGGGGAGAGGGGAGAGAAGGAAACACTGCAAAATGAAAAAAAAAGTCAACAGAATACTTCATTGCACTCATGAGGAACCTGTACACAAACCAAGAGGCAGCTCTTCAAGAGAACATCGGGATACTGCATGATTTAAAATGAGGAAGGGCATCTGTCAGGGCTGTCTCCTTTCATCATACTTATTGAAACTGTTGTTGCTGTTAGGTGCCATCGAGCCGTCTCTGCCTCATAGTGACCCCTTGTACAGCAGAACAAAACACTGCCCGATCCCGTGCCAGCTCCATGATCCCAGCTATACTTGAGCCCATCATCGCAGCTACCATGTCAATCCATCTCGTTAAAGGCCTCCCCCTCTTTCATCGACCTTCCACCCTACCAAGCATGACGTCCTTCTCCAGGGAATGGTCCCTTCTGACAACATGACCAAAATAGGTGAGATGAAGTCTGGCCATTCTTGCTTCCAAGGAGCATTCCGGCTGCACTTCCTCCAGGACAGATCTGTTAGTTCTTTTAGCAGTCCATGGTACTTTCAGCATTCTTCGCCAGCACCACAACTCAAAAGCATCAACTCTTCTTCGGTCTTCCTTATTCATTGTCCAGCTCACACATGCATATGAGGCGATTGGTGTCAGTTCTTCACTGAACATTCAGTAGAATTCTCCAGTGAAACCATCTGGGCCAGGAATTTTTTTTGTTGGTAATTTTTTTAATGACTTCTTCAATTTCTTCTTTTGTTATGGGTCTGTTCAATTTTTCCACCTAAATCTGTGTTAATTTAGGTAAGTACCTTGGTTTCACCCTTTGAAACTATATGCTGAGTAAATAATCTAAGAAGCTGGACTTCACAAAGAAGAATGTGGCACCAGGATTGGATGAAGACTCATTAACAACTTATGGCATACAGATGACACAACCTTCCTTGCTGAAAGTGAAGATGACTTGAAGCACTTACTGATGAAGATGAAAGACTACTCCTTCAGGATGGATTACACCTCAAAATAAAAAACACAAAAATCCTCACAACTGGAGAAATAAGCAACATCATGATAAATGGAGAAGAGATTTAAGTTGTCAAGGGTTTCATTTTACTTGGATCCACAATCAACAGCCATGGAAGAAGCAGTCAAGAAATCAAACAATATATTGCACTGGGAAAATCTACCACAAAAAAAAACCTCTTTGAAGTGTTAAAAAAAAAAAGCAAATATGTCATTTTGAGGTTGTGCCTGACCCAACCCATGGTATTTTCAATCACCTTGTATGTATGCAAAAGCTAGACAATGATAAGGAAGACCAAAGAAGAACTGATGCACTTGACTTAACGTGCTGGGGAAGAGTACTGAATCTACCATGCACAGCCAAAAGAACAAAGAGCTCTGGTGCTGTAATGCCTAAGGCATGTGACTGTTAACCAGAAGGCTGGTAGGTTAAACCTAACAGCCACTCTGTGGAAGGAAAATGGGGCAACCTACTTCTGTAAAGATTTACTACCTCGGAACCCAATGGGGGTCACTGTGAGTCAGAATTGACTTGATGACTATGAGTTTGCTTTTGGTTTTGGCCGGAAGAACAAAGAAATGTGTTTTGAAAGAAGTATAGCCATAATGCTTCCTAGAAGCAAGGGTTACAAGACTTTGTTTCATGTATTTTGGTCATGTTATCAGGAGGGACCAGTCTCTGGAGAGATACATCACTCTTGGTAAAGTAGAGAGTCAGCAAAAAAAGAGGAAGAACCTTAAAAAGGTAATTGACACAGTGGCTGCAACAATGGTCTCAAGCATAGCAATGATTGTGAGGATGGTGCAGGACCAGGCAGTTTCGTTCTGTTGTATACAGGGTTGGTCACTGAGGTGGAATTGACTTGATGGGACCTAACAACAAAAGGATAAACCAAAAGCCCCTTGTGTACCTATGCTGAAAATATGACACCTTTCTTTCTTTGTGTAGTTGACACGTATAACAGTCAGAGTCCTGGGAAACAACACATTTGACTAGGATATGTTGTGGCAGGTTTCATAAAGAGACTATTTACAAAGGTATGGTCAGGGTATAGGAGGACTACAAAAGACAGTACATCACTCAGAACTATTGCCACTCCTTGGCCCAAAGGGACAAGGGGAGGAGCAATTGCAGGAACTCAGAAAAAGAAAATTATGTAAGAGGACCACCTTAAGAGGAGCTGTGGCCTGTGATCAAGGCTGTAGCCATCCTGAGGTGACGCCTCTCCTTCCTCTCTTCCCTCCCTCTAATTCCTTGCTGGTGCTCCACCCTGGCCAAACCCAACTAGAAACCATTAGGCAGGGGAACCAGTTGATATAATCCATACAGGTCAGCTGCCCAGAGAAGAAAGCAGTGGGGAGCAGATGTGTAAGAGTGAACAGAAGACATCCAGCCAAGATGTTTGTGTGATATGTATAAAGATACGTAAGTATGTGAACAAAAGTTTTCTGCCAGGAGGTGGGATGGAAAGAGAGAGACAGTGTTCATTACTTAAGAGTCAACAGAAAAGTGAAGAAAACTTAGAAAAGCTAAGAACTAGTGGTTAGTCACTGGAGTGTAGGCTAGCCAATACCTCTCTGGATCTCCCCCCCAGCTATAACTTCCCATGATTCTGTGCAAGGAGCTTTACTGATGGGGAGGAACTTTCTGGTACAAGTAATCAAGTGTGGCAGATCATGGGAACTTTCTATGCACTGCAGACCCTCTTCTACCAGCCCCTCAGAAGACAACTCTGATGCTTTCTCTTAGCTTATATTCCAATCAATAAGCTTCTCCTGTAACAGCCTCTAAGGAACCTCAGTGGCACAATGATTAAAGCACTCATCTGTTAATCAAAAAGTTGGCAGGTTGGAACTCACCAGTGGCTCCAGGGAGAAAAAACCTGGCAGTGTGCTCCCAAAAACATTACAGTCTATGTGGCAGTTCTACTCTGTCCTATTGGGTTGCGGAGTGAGATTTATCTTGACATCACACAATAACAACAACATGGCAACCTCTAAAAGACATGTCTCTTACCTATTGAACTCTCATTCCTTGATGTAACAAAGGAGAGAAGTACATCACGTAGGCCATCTCCATTCACATCTGCCAGTTCCAATGGAGACAGGTCTCCACCTGGTAGACACACAAAAAAGTCTTAGCAAGTTACCACCACAAATCAGTTCTCTGCTGTCAAGTTAGAAAGGGAGTGGATGCATGGCACTGCCAGCACCTCCATAAAAACCAGACAGACTTTCAGTTCCTAGACACTTCTCCCAATCCCTCCCACTAAAAACCCCTTTATTTATTGTATGGCACTTGACTGCTAACCAGAAGGCTGGTGGTTCAAACCCACCAGCCACTCCTCAGAAGGAAGGTTGGGCAACCTACTTCCATAGTGATACCACCTCAGAAACTCAAAGAGGGGTCACTATGAGTCAGGTCCGACACGACAGCACATAACAACAACAACAACATATGTGTGTGTATGTGTGTGTACATACGTACGTATATACACATACACATACATACCAAAGGAAAAAAAAAGTCAAAGTCACTGCTGTTGAGTCGACTCAACTCACAGTGACCCCTCCTTGGGTTTTCGAGGCAGTATCTCTAAGAAAGTAGATTGCCCAATCTTCCTTCCAAGTAGTGGCTGGTGGGTTTGAACCGCCAACCTTCTGATTAGCGGTCAAATGCCTTAGGCACTACACCACCAGAGCTCACTCACACACACACACACACACACACACACACACACACACATATATTTTCCAATAGAAAAGAAACATAAGAGTGAAAGATGCAGAGAAGAAGGCAGACCAGCTAGGGACTCTGGGACCTGAGGAATGGCATGGTAATGAGTTTTCTGAGTTTTCTTTTTGCATCATATATCTCATACTGAGTGCTAGAGAAGTTGGCAAACCAAAAATGCCAACGAGCTCCGATTTTCAAAAAGCCCAGAAAAAGCTGACTCTCTATAGCCAAAGGACGAGGAAAGGGGAAGCCTGGCAAGACAGAAAAGTTGTAGCTAGTAACTGCTGCATTCCAACTAAACACTCAGAGAAAAATACACTACAGTCTCACCCCCAACTCCAAAGGCCAAGTGGTAGCCTAGACTTCCACTCTTGCCCCACTGCAACAAGATGCCCTCTTTTCACCCCTAGAGTGGTGACAGAGGACTTTCATTCCCACCTAACATTAGTGAGGCCCCCATACACGAGAGAAGCCTACACTTCTACCCCCATCTAGAGTAAAGGGGGTAGTCCTCGTCCTCACTGCAGGGGTGCTATCAACAGAGGCCAGTGGAAAGCCTGGACTTCCACCACTACCTGGCAGTAATGAGGTAGTATCCTGCATCCGCCCAAACACTGCCCTCCCCACCAGCAACAACACGGAGTCAGAGGATGCCTGCCAAATTTGGAGAGAACTCACACACTGCTAGTGGAGTGTAAATTGGCACAACTTTGGAAAATAATTAAACACAAACTACTGAGATTGAAGGAGCTCTGGTGGCATAGTGCCTAAGGCATTTTACTGCTAACCAGAAAGCTGGTGGTTCAAATCCACCAGCCACTCCTCAGAAGGAAGATGGGGCAATCTACTTCCATAGTGCTACTTTTTCGGAAACCCGAGGAGGGGTGGCTATGAGTCGAAATCGACTCAACGGCAGTGAGTTTGTTTTTTTGTTTTTTTTTTTGGTTTACTAAGATTGAAGATGCACATACCCTATGATTCAGCAGTTTCACTCCAAGGTTCATACACTAAAGAAATTCTTATACAATGCATCAGGAAACATGTATAAAAATATTCTTAGTTTCTATGACCCTGAGACAGAAAAACTAGATAGTGTCTGGCTACCACTGCTGAAGGCTCTGAAAGGGATCACAATAGGGGGTCCTAGATAGAGTGGGAGAAAAGTACGGAACAAAACTCATTATCACAAATAAGACCAGGCTTACTGGTCTGATAGAGATTGGTGGAATCCCTGAAACTATGGCCCTTAGACACTCTTCAGACTAGGAACTGAACTTCAAATGACAGGCCTATAGGGTGAACAATAATAACAGGGAGATACACACTCATTAGAGTAATCAACCACATGAGATCAAAAGGGCGGCATTTGCCTAGTGATAAAGCTAAGAAGGCAGAAGGGATAGGAAAGAGGGACGAAGGGAAATGACAACCACAGGGAGGAAGTGGGAAGAGTGTTGCTACATTGTGGGGATTGCAATCAATATCAAAAAACAGAATGTGTATGAATTATTGAATGGAAAACTAATGTGCTCTGTAAACTTTTACCCAAATCACAATAATTAAAAAAAAAAAAAAGTTTTTAGCAGCATTATTTATTTAAATTTAAAAAAGCAAGAAGCCACCTAAGTGTTCATCAACAGCAAAATGATAAATAATGAGATGCTCAAACCCTGAAATGTTATACAGTAGTAAAAATGAACAAACTTCAGTTATGATCATCAACATGGATGAATGTCAAAAATAGTTAAAAAAAAATTCTGAACCAAAAGCAAGTCACAGAAGACTACACAGCTGTATTTATCTGAAATCCAAAACCAGACAAAATGAAAGAATATATTATTTTGGCATACATATCTGCATGGTAAAACTTTAAAGAAGAGTAAAGGAATAATCAACCCAAGATTCAGGACTGTGTAAACTTTTGGTGGGCAGAGGAAGCTATGGCCAGGAGGGACACATAGGGGACTCAAAAAGTCTTTATAATATTCTCTTTCTAAAGCTGGGTGGTAGAAACACTAACAATTTGTTACTAGTCTTCATGCTATATATAAGTATTACATGTGCTTATTTAGAAAAATCAAAAAAAGAAAAGAAGGGGCAGAACTATTCTACTTGGTAGAAACATAGCATAAGGTATATCCACTCAATTTTGCCTAAAGAGCAACTAAAAACGAGAACACTGAACTCATTATCAGAAGCTAATTCATCTGGGATCAAAGAAATTCAGAAACACAATACTTCTATATCAAGATGATGCAAAGGACCTGGGAATAACCTAATCCAGTTTACAAGAGTCAGGAACATGCAGCACAGGAATATGCCACCCCATCCCCCACCCAGAGCAGGCTGATTTAAAGAAACCTGCTCCATTATGGCACTCTGGTGGCACTTGACTGCTAACCAGAGGTTGGCTGTTCAAACTCAATTACCTGCGCAGAACCACTCTATCTACTACTGGCAAGAAAGAAGAGACAGGGACCCCATTTTACATGAAACTATTTAAAAATAATTATTTTAAAAAAAAATCATGTAAAAGGTCTGGCTTCTATAATCCATGAATGCCTGAGGGTCCTACAAGAGCAACATTCTCTGGTCTGGCCAGCCCAGGGCCTCATTTTTCTCTAGAAATATCCCTTCCAACAGCTTTGCATGCTGCTGATGGACTGCTGGTATGACAGCAGGAACCAAGCAAATCAATGCTCTGTCCTCTCTGCAACTAATAAGACCAATGCTGACAGACACACAACAGTGCTGTGATTCCCAAGTTTTCGAAATGTATCATTCCATTCTTTTGTTTCATTTCAAGTATGAACCTCCTTACCAACAAAGGGAAAAATTCTGGATGTCACATATTAATTTTTTAAGACTTTGAATACAATTTCAAAGTAATCAGCTATACCATGAAGATTTACAGAAGTAGGGCTGGAAATCCTACAACTCACCTCCATGGGGGCCCAAGTGGCGGCTCCAAGTGCTGTGCAGATCTCTAGGGGGACATGGGATCAGGAAAGCACATATAAGCACCAGGATCATTGAGATCACCAAAGTTAGCAGGAAGACAGATGTGCGCACATAAGACACGAGGGAAGAGGTCGCCTTCTGCTCCAGGTCCCCAAGTGGCTCCGATGGGTAGCCCTCTGTTGTGACTTCTGAAAGATGTGGCTTTGCAGACCCTGCAACCTCTGCATCAGAGTCAGGCTCTGGGGCTTCTCCCAGAGGACTCTTCCCATTCTTGACCCCTCCATTCTTCTGCTGCAAGTTAAGGACCAGATCATCTTCACTTTCATCACTGTCCGCCTGTGTGAGGGGATCATACTCCCCTAGGTCTGGGCTCTTCTTCCCTGAAAAGACAGACAAAGTTCACCAAGGTAAACTAGGAAGAAGACACTCTCCCCAAATAAATACATGGTAACTGCAAACCTGGAGAACATAAAAACTAGGTTACATTGAGTGTGGACCTTGGTGGCTATTTCTAACATGGACACCAGCAAAGTGGGGAGAATGGGAGAATAAGAAAATCATAGTATCCTAGGATTATATGCCTTCATGAGTTTAAGAAACTTGAAAGAAAGAGGAATTAGCAAATTTCAAGCATCATTCTAGTTACAAAAAAAAAAAATCACTGCTCAATCTGTTTGAATCTCACTGATGAAAAAGGTCACATCTCTTATATTAACTTTCCATATAGTTAATGTACATACCGGGAGCTCTGGTAGCATAGTGCCTAAGGCATTTGACTGCTAACCAGAAGGCTGGTGGTTCAAACCCACCAGCCACTCCTCAGAAGGAAGATGGGGCAATCTACTTCCGTAGTGATACTGCCTTGGAAACCCAAGGAGGGTTTGCTATGAGTCAGATCCGACTCAACAGCACATAACAACAACAACAAATGTACGTACCAGGAGCATGTACAAGGCCAGGAGCTAACTATAGAAAAGACCATCAATTGCTCATATTGAATTGTTCAAGTTGAAGCTGAAGAAATTTTCAGAAAGTCCACAAAAGCCAAAATACAATCTTGATTATATTTCACCTGAATTTAGAGACCACTTGAGGAACAGATTTGACACACTGAACAACAATGACTGAAGACCAGACGACTTGCAGAATGACATCAAGAACATCATATATTAAAAGGTCATTAAAAAGACAGGAAAGCAAGAACAGACCAATATCGATGTCAGAAGAGACAAACTTGCTCTGAATGAAGAGTAGCTGAAGCAGTGGAAGAAATGACAAGATTAAAAAGCTGAGCAGAAGATTTCAAAGAAAAGCTCAAGAAGACAAAGGATTGTAATGAAATATGCAAAGACCTGGAGTTAGAAAACCAAAAGGGAAGAACATGTTCAGCATTTCTCAAGCTGAAAGAACCGAAGAAAAAATTCAAGCCTCAAGTTGCAATATTGAAAGACTCTATGGGCAAAATACTGAATGATGCAGAAAGCATCAAAAGAAGATGGAAGATGGAAGAAACACACAGAGTCACTGTACCAAAAAGAGCTGGTCAATGTTTAACTATTTCAAGAGGTAGCATATGATCAAAGAAGTCTAAGCTGCACTGAAGGAATTGGTGAGAAACAAGTCTCTAGGAATTGACAATACCCATTGAGATGTCTCAACAAAGGGATACAGTGCTAGAGGTGCTTACTCATTTTTGCCGAGAAATCTGGAAGACAGCTACATGGCCAACTGACTGGAAAAGATTGATATCTGTGCCCATTCCGAGGGAAGGTGATCCAACAGAATGTAGAAATTACTGAACAATATCATTAGTATCACACACAAGTAATTTTGCTGAAGATAATTCAAAACCAGTTGCAGCAGTATATTGACAGAGAACTTCCAGAAATTCAAGTTGTATTCAGATGAGGATGTAGAACAAAGGATAACCCTGTTGATGTCAGATGGATCTTAGCAGAAAGCAAGAATACCAGAAAGATGTTTATTTGTATTTTATTGACTATGCAAAGGCATTTGACTACGTGGATCATAAAGAACTATGGACAACATTGAGAAGAATGGGAATTCCAGAACACTTAATTGTGCTCACGAGGAACCTATACATAACCAAGAGGCTGTCATTCAAACAGAACAAAGGGATACTGTATGGTTTAAAATCAGAAAGGGTGTGCATCAGAGTTCACCAAAAAACACCAAACCAAATTCACTGCCATTGAATCAATTCTGACTCACAGTGACCCCCATTGAATTTCCGAGGCTGTAAATCTTTATGAAAGTAAATCACCTCATCTTCTTTCCATGGAGCTGCTGCTGCTGTTGTTGTTATGTGCCATCGAGTTGGACCCGACTCATAGAGACCCCTCCTTGGGTTTCCGAGGCAGTATCACTACGGAAGTAGATTGCCCCATCTTCCTTCCGAGGAGTGGCTGGTGGGTTTGAACTGCCAGCCTTCTGGTTAGCAATGAAGTGCCTTAGGAACTATGCTACCAGAGCTCCTAGTGGGTTTGAACTACTAACCTTCTGGTTAGCAGTCAAATGCCTTAGGCACTGTGCCACCAGAGCTCCTTTTACCATATTTATTCAATCTGTATGCTGAGCAAATAATCTGAGAAGCCGGACTGTATGAACAAGATCACAACTTCAGGGCTGCAGGAAAACTCATTACCAACTTGCAATATGCAGATGGCACAACCTTGCTTGCTGAAAGTGAAGATGACTTGACGCAAAGATCAAAGACTACAGTTTTCAGTATGGATTACACCTCAATATAAAGAAAATGAAAATCCTCACAACTGGACCAATAAGCAACATCATGATAAATGGAGAAAAGATGGATGTTGTCAGGGATTTCATTTTACTTAGATCCACAATCAACATCCATGGAAGCAGCAGTCAAAAAAATCAAACATCATATTGCACTGGGGAAATCTGCTCCAAAAGACTTCTTTAAAGTGTTGAGAAGCAAAGATGTCACTTGGAAGACTACAGTGCACCTAACCCAAACCACAGTATTTTTTTCCCCAGTGCAATATGACATGATTTCTTTCTTTCTTTTGTTTTTAATTTTTATTGTGATTTTGGTGAAAGTTTACAGAGCAAATTTACTTTCCATACAGCAGATCACATATACTTTGTCTCATGACATTGACTGCAATTTCCCACAATGCAACAGCTTCCCCATCACTTCCTCCCCATAGTTACTTCTTCCTTGTGTCCTGACCTCCCATACACTCACTTGCCTGAGCTGTCTTCCTGTGCATACACCGCCCTTCCATTCTCCCATGATTGATCTCTCCAAGGAGTGTATCTACCTAATGTAAATGTTCAGTTCATATGCCTGTCTTTTGTTTGGCTGGAAGCCATGTGAGTGGGTTCAATTCCAGATCTGAAGGACAGCTAGGGGCCATAGTCTCAGGGGCTCCATCAGGCTCTAGCAGACCAGCAAACCTTTTTTTTTTTTTCCCCATGATTTTGAGTTTTGTTCCACCTGTTCTCCTGCTCCATCCAGGATCTCCTACATAGATCCCCCTCTGAGCAGTTGACAGGGGTAGTCAGGCATCATCTAGTTCTCCTGGTTGACAGTGGTAGCCAGGCACCATCTAGTTCTCCTGGTCTCATAGTCATATAGGCTGAGGACTGCATGGTCCAACAGTCACTTGGACTAATTGTTTCCATGGTTCTTTGGTTTTCTTTATTCTTCTTTGCTCTGGATGAGGAGAGACCCATCGTTGCATCTAGATGGCTGCTTACAAGCTCTTAAAGATCCCAATCACTACTCGCCAAAGTAGGATGCAAAGTTTTTGTAACCCACAGAATTTTTAATCACTTCATATGCATGTGAAAGCTGGACAATGAATAAGGAAGACTGAAGAAGAGTTGCCTTTGAATTGTGGCATTGGCAAAGAGTACTGAAAATACCATGGACTGCCAGAAGAACAAATAAATGTGTCCTGGAAGAAGTGCAACTGGAAAGCTCCTTAGAAGTGAAGATGGCCAGACTTGGATCCTCCACTTCTCAAAAGTTAGCTTTATGCTACTTTTCTTTTACAAAAGACCTACATTAGTTACCTATTTTCGCTAACCTTAAGAAATCTGAAGAGGATTTTTGCTTCTGTGAAAAAGGATGAAAAGTGAAACTAGTGTTCCGCATCTGTTTTGCAGTGAGTGTTGGAGGCACTTTGGTCTACTTTGGTCAATTGGTCAAAAGGGACTATTCCCTGAAGAAGGATATCAATGCTTGGTAAAGTAGAGGGTCAGCGAAAGAGGGGAAGACCCTCAATGAGATGGACTGACGCAGTGGCTGTAACGACGGCCCTAAGCATAGCTAGGATTGTGAGGATGGTGCGGGACCAGGCAGTGTTTCGTTGTGTTACACACAGGGTCACTGTGAGTCGCAGCTGACTCAATGGCATTTAACAACCACAACAACAATGTACATACCCAAACCCAACCCACTTCCATCGAGTCAGTTCTGACTCAGAGTGACCCCACAGGACAGAGTAGAACTGTCCCATATGGTTTCCAAGGCTGTGCATCTTTATGGAAGCAGAATGCCTCATCCCGCAGAGCAGCTGTGGGTTAGTAGTTGAATGCTTTAATCACCACACCATCAGAGCTCCTTCAAGATTCCTTAGATTTTCTTAGATCTCTGATGTCCTGATCTTTCCTAGAAAAGTTTCAGAACAATTCTCTGTACACTGTTTTTCAGAGCCCAGTATTTGTGGCTTTCCAATTGTTTCTATGGAAAAAACTTAGAAAGTCAAACACTATCTGTCATGTTTTACTGAAAACTCACTTCTGAGAACCTTCCTATGATTCGAAGGCCCCTTCAGTAAACAGTGTTTACCTCTAAAACATGCTGTTCTGAGCAGGTATTCTGGGAGGGTTGGTGATGCAGCAGGAAAGAAGTTGGAGGTTTGCCTTGAAGCTGCTTTGCACAGCTGGCATTCCGTTTTTACTTCGACTGCATGTTTATTTGGGGTGGCTGAGAGGTAGAAATTAGAAGATGGCTTAGGCACACTTCTTCCCAACTTCACCTTGGCCCTCAGTACCAAGGACTGGATGATTGTATGCCTTTATTTCACTTTGTAATCAAGTAAAAATCAAGGAAAATTTCTGTTTGGGAGGAATTACCTGTATCCTCTACTTTTTGAAAGTTAGCTTTATGCTACTTTTCTTTTACATTAGACCTACATTAGTTACCTATTTTCACTAACCTTAAGAATCTGAAGAGGATTTTTGCTTCTGTGAAAAAGGATGAAAAGCCAAATTAGTGATCAGCATTTGTTTTGCTGTGAGTGTTAGAGGCAGCATGCACCCTGAACAGTGAGAATGGCATGGTCAAGTTTTTTCCCCTTGAACTACACAAAATCTCATCATC